AGAACCACATGCCCGCAGGGCAGCTTTACTACATCCTGCCTTTCCTTTGTAGACACAGGAGCTGCTGTTACATATAGTGTGTTTGTCGTGATCCCTTTCTATGTCTGCCTTGCAAGGATTTATTCCTGCTGTCCTGTTCATCTAGAAGTCATGTCTGGGAGGGATCTTGGAACTTGAGTTCAGAGGAATATGCCCATAAAATGTGAATTGCTGAGGGGGCAAGGTTCTGGGTCCTGTGTTGTGTTAGTCAGTTTATCCTTGGTTCCTATCAGTAATGGGGAAATTACCTGACTCTGCAGGTGAGTGCCAGTGGAGCAGGTTGAGTGACATGCCTGAAGCTGGCTGGAACTACTAGGACAAAGTAAATAATTGAAGCCGACCCACTGTTGTCTTTAGAAAGCCAAACTTCTCTTTGAAAGCCTCTGGCTTCCCCTGTGGCTTGAGTATTTTGAAGCAAAGCTCACCCACGACTAAGCTAGAGCAGTCACCAGAAGAGTTGAAGGGGTGACCAGCACCTTGTGAGCATGTTCCCTCTACAGTAATCAAAAACCAGTATCTTTCCTACTTCTGCCAGAAGTGATAAGTAAATAAATAAATAAAAGGACGCCCTCTTACATCTGCAATCACTGCAGCTTTCTAGCTCCTATTATCCCAATTATGTAAAGCCTTTGGAGAGGGGCTGCTGGATCAGACAGACTGTGTCACGTCAGGTCGTGCTGAAATCCGTATTCCTAGAACGATTCCCGAGATGGGTCACGCTAGAGGTCTGCCTGGCTGTGCAGCTGGCTTCCGACAACGGCCGGTGGCTGTAGCCTTAGGAAAGGTGCTGCAGGAATTAGGGCAGTGCAGTCTGATCTTCCCCTGCATTGTATCATGGCCCTCATTCATAGCAAAGCTGTGGCTGTGCAGCTTTCCCCCGTTGTTCATGCGGAGCAGTTCAGCCGAGGTGAGCAGAGCGGTGCCAAGAGGAGTCCCGCAGCCCCTGCTTCGCGGGGCAGCAGCTTGGATCAAAAGAATAAAACTGCTTTCAGAAACCCTAGCCCTCCGCTCTCCTGAGAAGCTGAGCAAGCACTGGAATTTATCTGGAAAAGAACTTGGTCTGCCTTTTCATCTCGGTGCCTGTAGGATTCTTTCTGGTGGGTGAGACTGGGGTTTTTTTAGCCCTTCCTATGTTGAAAGCATTTATGTGTAGTAACTCCACCACACTCCTTTAGGAAAGACAAATATTATGACATGGTGGGAAAAGCAAAGGAGAGAGGTTGACTTGAAGGGCTCTGAATCACGACTGGCATGGAGGAAGCTCTGAGCCCTGGTCAGAGTCTCTGGCCTTAAGTGTTTTCTTATTTTTACAGAGCCTGTTTATCTGGCACCAATGTGTTTTTAAGGGCTGAATACAGACACTTCTGTTACTTTTCAGTTTTGGACTGTGTAGAAAGCTTTTGCCTTTTATGTACACCACTGCTGTCCCATGGTCCATCCAGCAGACTTGGTATAGAACCAGAACATGAAAAACGGCCCTGAGAAAGTCAGGATCTAATGTGGAGGCTGAAGCAGCTATTGTCAAAGAAACAGAATGCCTAAATGGGGAAGTGAATGTCACTGTCACACCTCTAAGGGCTGTCTTCACTAACGGGAAAAGTGTGCTTTTAGATGCGTTAGCTCATGCTTTAAATATCCCTCTGTAAACAAGGAGAGTTTTATTTTTAGCATAATTGCTGGTCGAAGTGAATCCTGGATCCTCGGTTCCCTCCTCGTCCTCCCCATTAGAATTCACTAGAGGTGCTTATAGTAGATGTAATTGCAATCTGTGCTTAGTGATATTTCACTGTGTTTTCTTCTCTCCCCCTCTGTAGCAGAGATGTACTGTAAGTTGACCTTGCTAACCTTTATTTTCTCCTCCCTTGGATATCTGGGCAACATCCCCTTTAGCATGCTGGTTGGAGACAGATATATCACAGTCTTGCTGCAAGGTGACAGAGCTGTGACCCTGCAAACCGCTGATAGTGCCGGCCTGCTGCTCGACGCTTGAAAAGCCTCCAAGTCCAGGCACGAGGTGTCTTGCTAATTAGATGTTCCGTATCTCTTCCGAACAGCACGGGGTGAAGGGACCCTGGGACGGGGTGGTCACACTTAGGGGAGGAGGTGCGGCAGGTCTCTCGGCGCGGCTCCTCGCCGCTCGCGTGCGGCCGTGTGCCCAAGCAGGTCAGCCAAAGCCCAGCCCGTGCTGTCCTGTCACCCGTGTGGGAGCCTGCAGAGATGTCCCTCCCAACGAAGATGGCTCTGGCTCATTTCAGTCTCCCTCACCCCAAATGCCCAGACACCTCCAAAGTGCCAAAGGGGCTTGAAAGGCATGATACAAAACCCAGTGAATCTAAAATGCCTTATTTACTTCTGGCTTTCATTCTGGTAGGTTATATGGGATCACGTGCTTTTATTCATGAGGACATCCAAGTCTTTCATTTCTCCAAATTTTACAATGCTCTTGTATTGAGATGACACTAGATCCTAGAGATTTGGGGGAGGGAAAGCTAATGATCCTGAAAGCAGGCATTGTATTCCGGGATGTGCAGCCTGCGCCGCTGGGGCTGCCTTTGCTTGTCCCTGCCGAAAGATCCCCTACAAGCGGCCTTGAGCTGAGCAAGATGTGGACACTTAAATCCTCTCAGCCGGGTACCTCCTGCTGTTGTGCCATGGCCATGGCCAGCTCTCAGACCCCTGTGAATGAACGATGCAACTCGCATCCCTTCTTGCCTGTGTGTCCTCCGAGACACCGGGAAGTCCCGTCACTCTCGGCGCTCGCTCGAGCAGGAACATGAAGTTTAATCGTTGCTGTCAGACCCAGGTAGTGCTGTCTGTGAAGACCGAGCTCTCTGCAGCCAGCCCGTGGGTACGACTGAGCCTCTCCGTGCCCACGCGTTCCAGGAGGGCTATTCCCAGCTCTGGCGTGGGCTCTGCATGCATTTCCCTGAGCTCTTACAGATGCAGTTGCTTTCTCGCAGGCAGGGCAGGATGCAGGGTGGCAGCGAGCTAATAAGACCCTTTTAAATACCCAACTTCCCCTTCCTCCCGCCACGGTTTTATTTCAGTTTTGCAGGTTATTGCGCCCTTGCTGGGAGGCAGGGCGTGAGGCTGCGGGGACGTGCTGTGGCTCCGAGCTGAGGAGATGTGAGCAGCTCCGGTGCGTGGTCCTGCCGCCAGCTGGGGAGCAAAGGCGGGTGCTGCCCACCCCGTGCAGCCATCGCACGCTGGAGGTGGGCTAGTGAGGACACGGCGTGCTGGTGCCTGCATCCTGCGTGTGCACTCGGGGTACGCTCAGCTGGGTGCCGGCCCCTAGTCGGGAGGTAACCTCACTTCAGAGTAGGGCTGTGTTGTGGTTTTCCCTGTGATGCTCAGCATGTGTTGAGGGTTTTAAGGCACTGGGGACTCTTGCTGGGCAGTCGCCACGCCTTCTGAGTGCTGGTATTTCTGCCTCCCACCTTTATCCGTCGCTTTCCCTCCCTTCTGAAGCACCCCGTGCTGCTCGGCCCCATGGGGACAGGCCTGGGGCCAGAGTCTCCACTGGCAATCTCCTGGAGAGGTTGGTGACCTGATTGTAGTGCTGCTGATCCCCCTTCTATCTCTGGGGCTTTGATTAAGGCTGAAATACCTACATCAAATGCTCTGGGCTTTAAACTGTGAGAGTAGATATAGCCCGTAACCTCAGGAGAGGGTAATCTGCATCCGAGCTGAATATTTTGGGGAGCAGCTGTTTGGCTCTGATCGAGGCAGTAGGGTCTTGTGAAAATGAGCTGCAGGATGTGGGAAAGAGCCTTTGCCACGAGGGCAGAGGCTGGCCAGGAAAGGATCCCACAGGGAAGAGCCTTCAGCTGAAGAAGAAAGGCTGAGATCCACTCCACCCCGAGCTGCTCGGGGACCTGTTGGCTCCGGGGGCCGGTGACAAGCTGGTGTGGAGGCAGCGAGGGGTGGCTGGGTGCAAGGGAGCCGAGGAGGAGGGGAGGACATCCAGCACGTGGGACACCGTCATTCTCTGCGTGACATTTGTCCGTCTCTATAACAAGCAACAGGCTCTGGGGAGTGAGCAGGGCACGAAAATAGTAAGAGATTTGGAAGAGCAGTAAAGGTTTTAGCCATTATTTTCTCTGAAGCAGGTGAAACTCAGCCAGTCAGGAGCTTTGGGGCTTTAGACAAGCCCTAGGTCACGCTGTCCCTTGCCTGGTAGGAGTGCCACACTGAATGGTGGGCAGGGGAGGGTGATGCAGGGGAGGGTGACGGGGGGAGCAAGGCAAAAAAAGCTAGGAAATTAGGCTTCGTTAGCAACTGGTAGGCAGTGGGGAGCTTCTCAGCAAGCAAACTGCAGCGTGGGGAGGCAGCCTCCTCTTCCATCGCTGCGGTGTGTGGCCTTGGGCAGCATCTCTGAAAGCCTGCACAGCCGAGCCGAGCGTGAGGGTTTCCTTAGCTCCGGCTTCTCATCCCGTCTGTGCCGCTGACCTGCAGGCGTTCTTTGGCTCGTAGCTTGCCCAGTGGGTCGGGACAGGGATGTCCTGGTGTGGCCTCCGTCGCCTTTTAGGTGCTGTTGTTACACAAATCACTGTACCTCAGCTCTGGAAGTTTGTCCTGACATTTCTATGGTGTTTTTGCGCAACAGCAGCATTAAATTGGATCGACTTAACAGGGATTGCAGCCAAACACTTTGATGCTAATGGTTGCAGTAAGAACTTTTATTTACATGCCCTCAGAAGTGTACTTTCCAGTGCAGCAGGGCAGCTCCTTGTCCCAAGGAGCGTATGCACTATTCAAACCACCTATTGCCAAAACAAAAGACGGAACAGAGAAGTGCGGGGCTGCGGCGCCTCCCCTGTGAAAAATTTCTGTTTTAGGAAGAGACTCTTTGTGTTCGCTTAAGTTTTAGCAAAAAGCACATGCCAGTGTGTCATCATTCGGTTTGCTTTTTAAGCGCTTCACGGACAACTGATGTGTCTCTTCTTGTCCGTTTCCCTCAGTGCTCCTCACAGCAGTGAACTGTTACAGCGTGAAAGCTGCTACTCGTGTTCAGGATGCCTTTGCTGCGGCAAAACTGCTGGCGCTGGCTTTGATCATCATTCTTGGCTTCGTGCAGATTGCGAAGGGTGAGTATGCTTCCTTTTTCTTTTGAAGATGGTATGCAGTTAAAGCAGAATCTGGGGATTAGAGATAGAGCCCAAGAGTTCTAACCCCAGCATTTCAGAGCTAGCAGAAGTGCTTTACAAATGTCTTTTGTTCTCTTGCATGCTTGGGTGATATTTCCAGCTCATGCTTTGCAAAGGGCCGAGTGCTTTTGTGCATTTTATTTGCGAGGTTTTGTATTTACCTTGCTGAAGTTAGGCTGGATTTCATGCTACTGGAACCCAGCATATACCACCCAAGGTCTTTTCCACTTAATGCAGTCACTGTGTTGCCTCTCCCTTTGAGACTGCAGAGCTGCCAAGTCTACAGGGAATTAAGATTTTGGTGCTGTGGCTCTCGGAAGTCTTTTCTGTAACTGGTAGCTGGTCGTGGCCATTTGTTAGTAGAGAAGTATCTGCACGTGCAAACCAACCCCTGCTAATTTTCATTTTTTCACAAACTGCCCCTGTACATTTCTATTCTTCCTCCTTCAGGTATGGAACAGCTTGGTTGAGTCCATAGGGCCACAGAGGGAAGCTTGGGTCAGGCAAGGCTGCAGAAACCGCACGATGAATAGTGATATTAGGGCTCTCAGCTGACACCAGCATGCATGTGTGTCAACCAGCATCCAAAGAAGAAGATAAAAATATGAAGATAAAGCAAATTTTCTGGTGGTTTTGCTTGTTTTCCTCATGCACACTTAAAATCCTCTCAAACCTAGGGAGATACTTTGTTCCAAACCCATCTGATTAACCAGTCCACGCAGATAAGCTTTACTGTGTGCTTTTTTTGTGTGAGTTTTCTGAACATAAACTTTTCTTGGGGCACAGTACAGGCCCTGTTTGTTAAATGGGGATAAAAGTCTATAGATAGTCCCGCCTGTCTCTGTACTGGCAAGTGTTTGTATGTTTGTGTGTGCACGTGGGTCTTTTTAATTCCTGTCTCAGCTATGGGAGCCAGTGCTGTCTTTGCAGAATTTCTTGCTTTATCAGAGGTTTTATTTTCTTCCAGCTCAGTGCCTACGCTCAACAGGAACATTGTCTGAAGCTTATCACAAAATATACCTCCTTCCTCTTTATATCTGCCCAGGCTGCTTTGCAGAACTTTTTTTCTGTCTTAGAAGGAAAAGGATAAGTAAACATCAATCTCTGTTAGTTCTTCAACATTTTACCCATTATAGGTCTTTACAGTTGTTTTCTGCTTGCAGGTAATAATCTTAATTTGCTTCTTCGGAATCACCTTCCCTCCCTCTGTACTGTTCTTTCGTCATTTTGTTGAGGGTGAATCACTTTCTGCCCTGGTTCCTCACGTACAAATACATGATATTTCCATTGACTTATATCTGCAACCAATAAGAGATTTCTGTCTTGTGAACCAAAAAAGCCATCCTATACTCTTCTGGCTGAGAAGCTTTTTACCTGCATGAAGCCTATTACAGTTTCAAGTTTGTTCAAGGTCTGGAGAGGTACAACTCATTCCATGTGACGTTTAGTTTCGAGTGAAAGGTAACAAGATCAAAAGCAATAGTTAGATGATAACATCTGAAGGCAAAAGCCTTTTCTTCCTGTCTGTGCACATAACACTCAGCATAAAGCAAGTTGGCTTGGGGTGGGAATCTTGGGATCTACAGAAGGTGCTTCTCACAAAGTGCCTGATTACACCTTGTCCTAAGTGGCACATTACTGTTCGTCCGAGTTCTTATTTTACAACATACTGCCTGGGATTCTGCCTGGGATCTAACATGGCTTTTATTAATCTCCTTATGGAAGTTGCAAGCTCTCTGCTAAGTCCTTAAGAATGTGCAAGCTTCTTTCCGATGCCCGCCCTTAGCTTCCACCTACATTTTGCAAGTTTCTCCATTTTTCTTTAAATCATGCCAGGTAACTCAGTGCTTTTGTGTAGCAGGGATACATCAGGAGACTGACTTTTTTCTTCAAGGAAAGCATACTGAAAATGGGAAAGCGCTGTACCGTTCTCCATCTTTGTTGGGACAAGAAACGATGGATGCAAGCTGTGAGGCAAGGGAAATTTAAATTAGCCATTAGAAAACCACTTTTAACTGTAATGCAGAGCTCAAGTAGGTTGCCCAGGGAGGCTGCCTCACTGGAGATTTACAGGAACAGGTCAATAAATGCCACTTGGGAATGGTTCGAGTGAGTCAAACCTGCCTTGGAGCAGGGGGACAAACCTGGTGCACGTGGAAGCCGCCGTGTCTGTGCCCGCTGTGTGTTGGTAGCACAGTGCAGAGCTGCTGGGTCTTCTCCAGGCGAAAAACTACAGACCCAGTCTTTTAAAGTGCTGATGCCTTCAAACGGATAATTTTTTTCCTAAAAGCCTGTTTAACGTCTGAGTAGGTGGGTGATCCTGGGTCCCATACACCACCAGTGGGCCGTGCCTCTGCTGCTCCTCTGAGTGCCCCCGTGTTCTGCCGTACCCGTTCCAACGCTTTTTGGACAAAGAGGACTCTTACCACCACCCGCTCAGGAAATTCAGTGCCAAGCCAGCAGCTATTATTGGGGTGAAATACATGCCAAGCTGATTTGTCTGGGGCTGCAGTTTCAGCAGTTTCAGCAGTCTGGCCGGTGCCTGACCAGCGCTGGTTAACTTGCTTTAATGGTTACTGTCCCATTGCTGGTTTATGTTTACAATATCCATAAACAAAGAGGAGCAATACCACGGTTTCTTGCTCAAATGTGGAAACTTCTGAGAAGTCTCAGAAGTATGTCTTTCTCTGTATTGACCTCCCGCCTCCAGCTTTTGGCTTTTTTTCTTTTCATCCTTTCATTGGATATTTTCATTATTTTCAGAAAAGCAGTAATATCTCAAGACAAAAAAATACGTGGCAATATTACCACACAGAAAATAGCATTTCCTTGTGATCTTTCTGTGGACAGCTGTTTCACATCACTTCTTTCATGCAGCTTCAAAAGGAGGGTAGAAGTTGGTTTCCTACTTAGACAGCCTTTCAACTACTTGAAAGTTGACTCAGTATAGCAGACCCACTTGGTATGCAATTACTCTACTAATACAAAAGTTACACTTTATAAAGTCTTTGTTGTGTTGCTTTAAAAGTTCAGTGTCCTGGACTTGGTATATTGGTGTGGAAAACCTTATATATGGACAACTAACTACACAGCCCACCAGTCCTTAGGACTTAAAGAGTATAAATAACCGAGGATCAGGACTTTTTCACTCCAGTGTTATAAAAACTAGGCTTATTTTTGGTTCTTCTTCCAGCTCTCACAAGTTGCCTTCTGCCCAGCCACCTCTGTGTATTTTTTGGCCATATTCTTGACCTGGTGAGTGGGATGCCTGGGACTGGAGCCTGCAGCCGGTTTGGACAGTGGCTCTGCACGTTTAAGGGGTGTCTGCGGTTGGGGCAGCAGCTGTGCTCTTCATACCCGATCACCCCACACTTCACAGTGCCTTAAAAACTAACCAAGGCATGAAACAGTCAAAAAAAATGTGCTGAGCTGTCAGAGCACTCATGCTTTTTACACGTGATGAAATCCAGGATGGGTTTTGATGTCAAAAAATTCTAAAAAACCCCATATCTCAGACACGTTTCAGATATTTTCTATTCTGTTGTTGATGTCCCAGGGTTACTTAGACATTTACCTGCTGTTGGGCAGCTCCAGCAGCAGTGAGGTGCCCTTTCTGGCTGCTGTGTGTTCGGGGGGTGCTGGGCTCCAGCCCTCGCTGTGATTCCTCACCAGCAGTTCTGCTTAAAAAAAAAAAACAAAGAATTGGGCATGTGGGACTTAGGGAAATAGAATTTAACGCTCATTTTATCGCATTATTTTTAATTGAACTTACTGTCCCTCTTAATGCCTGATTTCTGACCTTAAATTTCTCATCTGCGGTGCTTTGAGTGCCTCTTTGATGACAGCAGCATTATTCTCTCTGTCTCCCTTCATTGGGCTTGTCAGAGACCAGCAGATTTGCATGTGCTGAACAAGCACGGGGTGAGTTAAGGACAAAGGAGACAGGTTTAACTCCAGACATTTGCCATGGAAAACTTAGACTAGGCAGTGAGTTTTGGTTTTAATCTTGTTTTTACTTTAAATAGATGTTTACGGTATCAGCCAGCACTGGCATGCCCCACCCCAATATCATTTGCTCTTTGTAAAAAGGTATTTAGAGGTGTAGTTGTGGCTGGCAAATTCTGAACCTGATATGAGAAGGTTTCAGAAAGTACCGAAATTAAGAATCAAACCGTCAGTCATTAGCGTGAGCTGAGCACGTCTGCGAAGCCTCCTAAAAATATCGCTTAAGTATTCCAGGTGCCAGGTGACATCTTGGTGCTGGGGGCATGCGTGCCAATCTGGGTGCTACTTTTACTTATCAAATCCCTTTGTCTTTTGCTAGAGAACGCCCATTTGGTCTCTGTGGTTCTCTGTGAGGGTTATTTCACTAGCTCCCTGTCCAAACTTTTGTCTCTGCCTTTTTTTTGGTGAAAAATCCTGTGATTAAGAAAGACCTGAGGGAGGGAAAGTTTACTCACTCTTCCTTTCTTCCCAGATTTTCTTCTCCGTTGCCAGTGGCAACGCCAGTCGAATGTCCCAAAAAATCCCCCTGAGCCCGACGTGGAGTGCGAGCGGGGGCAGAGCGGGTTTGCTCTGCACGCAGCAAAGCCGAGGGCAGGGCTGCTCTGGAGGGGGCCTGCTGAGACATGGCAGGAAAACTTGATTCGGCGGCTGGCAATTAAAATCTCAGGCTCCCTCAGGTCTCAAAACACAATGGCACATGGATACTAAGAGGAAACAAGAGCGGTCATTGTCTGAATTCTCTGGGGTTTGTACCTACATTTAACCACGCTTGGCCGTCCAGAGATGAATGAGCACTTAGCACAGCTAAAGAAATCTGCCACAAGTTTTCCTCTGACCTGGTCTCATCTCTTGCGTCCACAGGGTGAACCCAAGAATGAACCTGACCAGCAGGTCGATGTTTAGGAGTTTGTTTTCAATCAATTTTTTTTTTTTTT